CTCCGACGAGGCCATCTTGCCAGGACTCACAGAAACAGCCCAAGGTCACGGGTGCAGGGTTTGCAATTCCCCGACAGCCCCGATGGTGATAAAAGTCCCCTGGAATCTTGTCCTGTCACATTCCTATCACCCGTGGGTGATGTGGAGAGATGCGTGTGTCTGTCTGAGGAAGATGAACGATGGGAGGGGAAGGGGATTGGGAGGGAGGTTGGGGGGGTGGGACAGCGTCCCCCGAGTGCCTGCTGGGATGTGGGACAGGTCAGTGCCCCCATGAGCAGTGTCTGTGCAGACTGTTGTCTAACCCAGCTCTTCCCACTCCCTTCTGGTCACAAACTGCTGGCCACATCGCATGACATGGTCCAGTCGGTATCCAGTTGGTGTTGGTCTGTTGGCCAGCCTCAGAAAAGCAAATTCATCCGGAAAAAGGCATGAGGCTGACAGCGCAAACGAAGTGAAATGGGCTGTAGCAACCAGACTGCCTTCAGGTAAATGTGGGCCCGTGTCAGCCGCCCAAGGGCAGGGACTGCACCAGGAGATCTGGAGTGCGTCCTGCAGCTGGGCTCAGTCAGGACCCCAGAGGAGGCCATCTGTGGGAGCCCAGGAAGGTGGTGGAGGTCCCACACTGGGCCAGCTTTTGGGGTGCTCTGGAAGGAGCATGCATCCAACCCCGATTGGCCCTGGAGGAGAAAAGGAGACAGGGTCCCTCTAATAGGCTGATCTATGAGGGCTATTTGGGAAAGACACGGGGGACTTAGGGTTAGAGTGACCTGTGTTTATGGGACTCCCCAGAATGAAGCAGGGGGGTTGTCCTGAGTTGAGATCCCCAGAAGCAGAGCCTGAGGCAGGGACTTGAAAGGGGTGGTGCCGGCAGAGGGGGTGAGGGGAGCAGAAAGGCCCGGGGAGGAGGTAGCCTCAGCTGGCTTTATCCCTCACCCCATCCCATAATCCCACGGGGGCTCTGGAGCCTGAATGCACCCCAGAGCTGGCTCCACCTGGAGGGACTGCCCCAGTCAGTAGCTGCAGCTGCCCCTGGCTGGGGTGGCATGTCCCTCCCCCCCCAAAGCGACTGCTAGGGGCCACGGGAGCATCTCTAGTGAAGGGGGCGTCTGTGACCCCTGACAGCCACTCACAGGCCAGGGAGTCAACACTTGCCAACAGGGGGATCTGGGCAGCCACCAACTGCACCCCTGCGGGGACCATGTGGTCTGAGGACACTGTTGCAGTGGGGCCAGTCCTGGGGGAGGGCACTGCATTGTGGGTGCAGAAGGAACAGGGACCACGGCCTGTGGCCACAGAGGGATGCGAACACTGCGACCGTTGTCATCATTACTTTTCGTGTGCGTGTGGGGAAAGGCTCTCCGTTTGCAGGAATACTGTGAGGGCCTCTGGTGTCGTGAGGGCCGTATCATTTCACTCAGTGGCAGAGTGCTGAAGGCGAGATTTGGGAAGCTACCAGAAGTCATTAACAGGATGCTAATCGCGCCAGGAGCGGCATGCACCTGCTCTGCAAACACCTCGGCCAGCTGTGAGAAGCGGTACCCGTGCTTCCGTGGGGACGGCCTCAGAGTGCTTCCCGCACGTTCGTCCTGACAACGTTGAGCCCAAATGCCACCTCAGACAGACAGTGAGAAGCAAGCTACTCCTGCAAACACATCTACAGGGGTTGACAGTTGTACCTCCATTCCCTACAAACATGCCCTCGTTAAAACCCAATGTAACTGCAGAAATAGAAAGTATCGCTTGCAGCGAGTCGTCCCCTCTGCCCATCTGGCCTCCAGTGGGACTTGGCCCTGCCCCCCCAACTGGTGACCATCTCTGCCCAGAATTCTCCACTTAGGGTCCAGTGCACCTTTACTGGATGCCAGACCCACATCCACCCCCACTCCCGGCCAGTTTCTTCAGTGCTCCTCAGTTTTTATTCAGGCCCCACACCTCCCTAAAAGCTCCAGGTGGTCAAGTCCCACAGTCCCAGGATGGGCCTGACTGCCGCAGCAGAGCACCCTGTCCCCTCGTCACAAGGATTGGTGTGGGCTACTGAGTCAACTGTCCTGGTCACAGAGCTCCGTGAGGAGCAGCCTAGGAAATATGACAGGAACGCGTATCCTAGCTCTCAGGAGAGACGGGGTGTGGGCTCATGCGGGGCAGCCTGGGAACATAGCAGCCTGTCTGCCAGATGCAAGTCACCCTGAGGACGAGGCCACCCATAGAGGATGGCCCGGCAGAGCCAGCTGCAGAGGTTGTGTGGACAGAGACGCCCGCGTTGCCAGTGAGGCTGGTGGGGAATCCGCACTTGAACCAATGTAGACGCCAGTCTAGGTTAGGATTTCTGTTCCTTCGAGAATAACTCAAAAGCCCTAGCCGGTTTAGTTCAGTGGATAGAGTGTCGGCCCTTGGACCGAAGGGTCCCGGTTTGATCCTGGTCAAGGGCACAGTGCCTGGGTTGCAGGCTCGATCCCCGGGCCCAGTCAGGGCATGTCTCTCCCACATCGATGCTTCTGTCTCTCTATCTCTCCACCTCCCTTCCACTCTCTCTAAAAATCAACGGAAAAATATCCTCGGGTGAGGACAACAACAACAAAGTAACTCAAAATGCCACTTTCTCTGGGATGCCACCTCTGATGGCCATTCCTAGTCCCATCAGGAAGTGTAACTCTCATTTCCCATCCTCCAGAACACAATATCCATGCCCTTTTATATCAAATCTCTTCCTGCCTTCAATTCCTGCCACTGGTGTATGGTCAGGCCCCGTTCTGACCCAGTCCCTCCGGGGTGGCTCCTCTGGTCCAGCCCTGCCTCCCAGTCTCCCTGGCACGGGTGTAGGGAGCAGGGCAGGCATCCCCTCAATCACTGAGCAAATAAGAAAGTACCGGACTTAAGACCCTTCTGTTAATTTTCATAAGAACTCTATTTGAACAGTGATTCTAATGTTCACAGTTGGGAAATATACTTCAATTTGTAGAAGAAGATAAAATACTGCATCTGCCCCCTCCAGCTAGCATTTGTAACACCCATACACATGGTTGGTTTGACTGTGAGGATGTGTGGGGTGGCTCTCAATTTACCTGCTTACTCGCTTTGCTTTCTTTAATCCTGACACCAAGGGGGGTTCATTTTCCCCATTTAGAAGCGAGGATATGGAGGCTGAGGGGGGGAGGGTAGCTCTCTGCCCTGGGGTGGCACAGTCCGTGCGGAGCTGTGTACAGTTTCAAAGCCCACGTCTGATCCCACGTCTGATCCCACATCTGAATGTCACCTCCAACTGTGCCTCCCTGGCTGGGGGGCCGGACCACGGGTTCCCATTACACAGGACCTCAGGGTGTCAACCCAGGGAGTAGCAACCCAAGGCTTTTCCTTTCAATCTGTGTTTATAAAGACCAGCAGACAGGAGGTAGACTTCAGGAACTCTCATTCTTGTTTCCTCGTCCCCAAACCACTGACAGAAAGATGAGGCCATGATCATTGGTCACCACTGACCTCCCAGAGAAATGTGTTTGGTCTTTTGGTCAAATACATACAGAAATACCTGTCTTTGACGGGGGGGGGGGGGGGGGATTATATTCAAGCTACTGCACTTAGCAAACAGCTATATTTAGCCAAGTGTACTGTAAGTGCCTTGTCCCTTTTTTTTTTTTTTTAATTAATGAATGTACCAGGCACTGAGGAGCATCTACAATGCGCCTGGCTCTGTGTTGAGCTCTGGGGATTCCAAAGTAAGTCACTGCCCGCCTGGGTGTCACCTTCTACAGGGGTGACAAACAACGCCGAGCCCACATGACTACCTCAGCAGGCGTAGGGCCAACAGCTGAGGTATAGATGGAGGCAGGGAGGCTCTGCCTCACAGAGAACCAAATCTACCCTGGGCTTTAAGGGATGAATAGGAGTGTGCCTGGAAAGCCCTTTTCTTTCTCATAGAGAGAAAAACAAAAGTCTGTATTCAATCAATATTCAACAAATACTGATGGACAGCCATGTGTCCATAAAAGCAATAAACTGAAAACACCTAAGAACTGCTTCTGGAGTCCACGCAATAAACAGCTGTCGGAGGCAACCCGACACCACAGACACGCAGCCTCATCCCTGGAAGTTTTTCCATTGAGAACAATGCTCGGTGGGACTCTCCTCTGCCCCAGCACGTGGAAGAGGGTGTAGAAGAGGGTTGCACTGCACCTGTGGTGTGAGTTCCTTATTAGCTTGTGAGCCCTCCCGGCTTGCGCACGCACACATACACATACACATACACACACACACACACACACACACACACACACACTGCACAGCTCAAAAGGTACAAAAGGGTGTACCCTGAAAGTTCAAGCCTCCTTGTCCACCCCAGGCCCAGGGAATGGCTCCCCTTCCCCAGGGAGCTGCTCCCAGTCCGCTGGGCGTCCTTTCAGCTGTGACGGGCTGCCCAACCTTCTGTGGCGCCCTCGCTGGAGAAGAGGCACGTGCACAGATCTGCACACGGTGAACCTGCGGCTGGGACGTGCATCGCCCATCTCCCTAGGATAAACTCTGCCCAGGAAACTTGGATGAAAACCTGTGTGCCTGGACCCCGTTTCAGGCTCGGTCCAGAAACAAGTCACACTGACCCCAAGTCCATGCCCAAGCTGCACCGTGTGTGACAATCCACTGCAAACGGTCACCGACAGGGGCCGGGCCATTCCCCAGGGCCATGTGGCCTCTGAGGACGTCCATGGGCCTCCAGGGTCGGGCCTACAGCACCCCCAGGGTGCAGTACAACAAAGCGGGGCGCCTGTCCCCCACCCGCTGCCTGGGCCACCTTGCACCAGGGGCGGCGCCCCAGCTCCACGCGCCTAGGGGACAGCGGCCCAAGGGAGCCGGGGGCGGGGGAGGGGTCAGTGTCGCAGGCCTGTCCCCTGGGCGGCCGGAGGACAGGCGTCCCGCCCGCCGAGACCCCGGCTGAGGCCCGCGGACCGACGGACTGACAGCCGCCTGACAGCTGCGCGCGCCCCCGCCGGGCATAACGGGCCTGCTCTTACCTCGCGCGCGATCTGGTTCAGTGCCTCGTCCTCTGCAGTCAGCCGCTCCCGGTTGGGGAGCCGCTTGCGGCCCGCGCCCTGGGTGCCCATGTCCATCGGCAGCGCCGCCGCCGCTGCTGCTGCGGGCCCGTTGCTCCCGCCGCTCGCGCCCCCGGCTCCGGGCCCGCCCCGCCCCTCCCCTCCCTCCGCCGGCGTCATGGCGTCAGCGGCGCGGGGACGCGGGGACGGGGCTGGTCGCGGGGACCAAGGCAGCGGCAGGGGTTTTGGACGCGGCGGGCGGGACCAGGACTAGAGCTTGAAGCCGGCGGGAGGTTTGGGATGTTTGGGGGCGGGGATGCGGGACGCGAGAGTGACTCAGCTGGGGACTCCGGGGAGGATGGGGCGCGGGGACGGTGGTGGTGGTGGTGCGGTGGGGGGTGGGTTAGAGGCGCCAGCGTCCGGGGACCAGGGCTTGAGCACTGCAGGGTGCACCCCCCGCTGGAACCACCCGCCTCAGGGCTGTGGGTACCGGGGCGCGGGGACCTCCGCAGGGCGTGGAGGGCTGGCGGGGATTGGGTGCCAGAGAGGTTTGCGCGGAGGGGTAGGCGCAGGGACGAGGTTCAGACTGGCGCTCTGTGAGCCTTGGTCCAGCACAGCCTGGCTGGGAGCAGGGTCCAGCCCAGGGTGGTCAGCTCCTTCTCCTGCTCCCAGGCCCTGTGACCTTGGCCACCTCACCCTCCCACCCCCTCCCCAGCCTGACGGTGGGTTCAGAATCAGCGTGAGGATGGATAGGTCTCCTTCACATGCCTGTCCTCTGTGGCTCCTCACCCCACCCCTGTGTCCCCAACTTCTGGGAAGAGGCTGACACCGCAGCTGGTCTCAATAAATAGTCGTTGAGAAAGGAATGAATTTGCCTGAGCTTTTCCTCCCATACTCTACAGGTGGGTTTAAAAGTAAACAGGAGAAGCAGGTAAGGGTTACAAAGCCATCACCATCCTGTCCATCGGGGTACAGGAAGAACGTGCCAGAAATTCCCTGAGTATGTATTTTAAACTAAAAATAAGAATGTTATGTATCGAATACTAGCATTTCATATACAGCCTCAGTTTAAGGGGCCACCTGCCAGTCACAGGGCACCCCTGCGGGCAGCAGTGGCATTCTCTCCCATTAGAGCAGTGATGGCGAACCTATGACACGCGTGTCAGAGGTGACACGTGAACTCATTTTTTTGGTTGATTTTTCTTTGTTAAATGGCATTTAAATATATAAAATAAATATCAAAAATATAAGTCTTTGTTTTACTATGGTTGCAAATATCAAAAAATTTCTATGTGTGACACGGCACCAGAGTTAAGTTAGGGTTTTTCAAAATGCTGACACGCCGAGCTCAAAAGGTTCACCATCACTGCATTAGATCATTTTCAGAACATTCTGTTGTATCTGGACGAACCAGGTGAAATGGGTTTATGGATTACATAACCTAGTCTTAGCTAAAACTCAAAGAGTAGACAAATGGCTTCAAAGGATTGAAAAGATTCTCAGAGATACTCCCCCAAATCGCAGACAAAAAAATGAGACGGTTTCCTTACTCCTGGGAGGAGCTCGGCATTGACCTCACTGTGAGGTATTAGCAATGAGAACAGTTAGCAATCGTCAAAAACAACTTGAAACATGAGTTCCCATTGCCTGTCATTAATGATTAACCTCATTTTAAGTGGATATAGTGACGGATGATGATGATAATGACATAATTTATACAAAACTATATAAATATTTGGGGGCCACTTAAAAAATACTTAGTGATAGAGTTCATGGTAAAAAAAAAAAAAAAAAAAAAAAAAAAGAAGAAGAAGTCTGGCCCTAGCCAGTTTGGCTCAGTGGATAGAGTGTCGGCCTGCAGACTGAAGGGTCCCAGGTTCTATCCCGGCCAAGGGCACATGCATGGGTTGTGGGCTTGATCCCCAGTAGGGGACGTGCAGGAGGCAGCCGATCAATGATTTTCATCATTGATGTTTCTATATCTCTCTCCTTCTCTTTTCCTCTCTGAAATCAATAAAATAAAAAATATTAAAACAAAAAAGTCTGGGTTCTAGGCCAGTGGGTTTTCCATTTTCGGGGATTGTGAATGTCTTTGAGAATCTGATGAAAACTGGATTCCTCTTCCAGAAAAAAAAAAAAAAAAAAAAAAAAGCATATGAACAGGACATTTGAGTAGTTTTAAAGGGTGATAATTAGAGGTCCATCCACAGGCCCTCTGACTCCCGCCTATACTCTCCCCTGGGAGCCTTTCTAGCTACTAAAGCCAGGGTTGCCTTCCCATACACTTTGCCACCGCACTCTCCAGAGTGCGGGGCGGCTCCACAGTGCTATTGCAGCAGTTCTGGGGAGGAGAGCCCCAGCAGGTGTGAAACGTGTCGCTGGTCGTTTGTGGCTAGGGGCAGGGAAATGCTGAAGCTTGTGAAATTACTTGCTCTAAGTGTTGTTACCATAATAATTTCATCCTTACTGAGTGCTACCCCATGACAAGAATTTTGCATAAACAGGTGCCTTGGCCGGAGGATGTCACTCTCAGGGTAATTACATGCCATGGGTGTCTGTTCTCCTGTACACTGTGCCAGCTCCTTAGCCGACCCCTTTGAGCAGCTCCGAGTGGCTCTCTCAGAATAGCGTTCCTGAGATTCAGGACCAAGATCGTCTTTTCATCTCTCAGAGAATCTTGTTCAGGGTTAGGCATCTATGGGTGCTTAGAAAATGTATGTGGCCCTTGGAAGGTGCTATATGAATTAGGACGTGAAGTCCAATTCTCTTTTTACTTATGGAAGACAAATACTGCAAGGACTTATAGACTAACAATGGGGTTGATTTTTTCCTAGCGTGGGCATTATTAACCATTAATTAAATTGTTTTTAAAGACAGGTGACAGAGGACTTTAGATTCTAGCAATGGAGATGCCACTTATATCATAGTAACCTTCCTGCCAATAACAGTCATAAGCCTCAAACAATATAGAAGAAGCAACTATGTGCAGGCACCGGAGAGTAACCAAAAGCAGATACGGACTAGAGTGGGTTCAACCTTTGAATTAAGACAGCTACTTCCCCAGAGGACGTTCTCATCTTCACGGTGCACTGGGATTAGAACTCGAGACGTACTGGACTGAGGGGTTAGATGTTAGGGTCTGGGGCTGTGAGTGCAGCTGGAAATGTAGTGAGGAAATCCCAGAAAACTGGGGTACCTAGCGGGTTGAGCCTCTGCATACTAACTTGTGCAGAACCCATGGCTGAATCCTGAACTATGCATATGTGGGGCGAGACCCCAAGACACTCAGAAGAAAGCAACTGGAAGCCTGGGAGTGTCGGGGAGCGATTTCAGCAGCTGCCCAGTGTGGGGAGATAAAATTAGAAATTCGATTCCTACCAAGGGCTCGGTAAGCACCTTGAGTCTTTTATTGAAACCTCAGAAAGAATACACCTTAGAGCAGCGATTTTCAACCATTTTCATCTCATGGCACACATAAACTAATTACTAAAATTACATGGCACACCAAAAATTTTTTTTTGTTGATCTGACAAAAATATAGGTAGAATTTTGATTCATTCACACCAGACAGCTATTGTTGTGTTGGCTGTTGTCATTTATTTATTTGACAACCTAAGGGAATAGAGGTCAGTACCTCTGACCAGTTGAAAATCACTTCCTTGGAGTAAGACAACACTTGAGGACAAAGGGCTAGGACAGAAAAATCAAAACACACTCACTGTAACAAAGCCTAGAACCAGTCTCAACAAGATGAAGGTGATATGCAGGATCAAGGTAACTTAATTCCCTGCTAGAACCAAATTCAAAAGTCTTCAAAAGCAGATAATAGAATCCACAATCTCTGAAATATATTCCCCACGATGACCAGTATATAATGAAGAATTACTATACATAAGGAGAATCAGGAAAATGAGACTCGTAGTCAAGAGGGAAAATAATCGGAAAAGACTCACAGATAACTCAGATATTGAAATTGGCAGAGAGGTTGTATGAGATAACTTTTGGAAAATGGAGATAATGGATGAAGATAATTTTAGAGTCCTGGCTGGGTAGCTCAGTTGGTTAGAATGTTGTCCCGTACACCAAAAGGTTGGGGTTTCAATTCCTGGTCAGGGCACATGCCTAGGTTTCAGATTTCAGGTTCTATTCCTGATTGGGGCGCATACAGGAGGCAACCAATCTATGTGTCTCTCTCCGATGTTTCTCTCTCTCTTTTTCTCTCTCAAATCAACAGGCATATCTTCTGGTGAAGATAAAAACCCCCATAGAATATTGGTGTGCATGTCTACATGCATGTACAAGTCCATGCACACTTAACATTTGTGCATCTGATTATGTGTAGATTTTACTTCGATAAAAAAGAGGGTTTTTTTTGGTTTTTGTTTTTGTTTTTGTTTCTTTGTTTTGTTAATCTTCACCCAAGGATATCTTTCCATTGGTTTTTAGAGAGAAGGGATGGGGAGAGACAGAGAAAGAGAAACATCGCCCCAACCAGGGATAGAGCCTGCAACGGAGGTACATGCCCTAGACTGGAATCAGACCCACCACTTTTCAGTCCACAGACTGATGCTCTATCCACTGAGCCACACTGGCTAGGGCTAAAAAAAAAAAAAGAGTATTTTTGATAACAATGATGGAAAAACAACCAAACCAACGAAAACACAAGGAGGCAACAGAAGAGCATTTACCCCTCAGGCATCACATTAAACTCATAGTTTTAATGTAATGACTTCTGGAAGGGACCACCACTTAAGGGGCTGCCTCATGCATCGCTCTATCACTTCCTCTAGGAAGTGGAGGCCAGGAAGGGATGCTGGTGGCCAGCGTATCTGGCACCTGTCTGCTGGGAGAGTTAGGAGGCTGGAGGAGTTGCATCAGTGCCCCTGGCACTTGCTGTGGGACCCAGATACCTGTGGCATGCTGTTTTCCTGCAGAACGACCACAGGGAACAGGTGGACCTGCAGATAAGGAGGCGATGGGCCACAGTCTGGGTCGGCTCACTGTGCCAGCTGTGAGGGGAGTCATGAAGCTCACGTCTTGTTTACCCCTCTGTCAGTGAATCCCATTTCCCGTGGTCCCTTCTTCCTGTCAGCGTTGCTATGCTCATGGTCATTGGGTGCCTATAGCCCGGAGCCCGGGAAT